CCCTCATCCCCAGGACCCCAGCCTATTCGATTCCAGTGAAGGCCTGTGGCGGTGGGCCTACGAGGGCAATGACATGTTCATGGACCTGCAGGTCAGGGGAAGCTGGGAGGAAGCTGTCTGTTTGGCAGGGGAGGGTGCTGGACGGGGAGGAGGAGTGACTGTTGACGACCTCAGGGCTGCATGGCAGCCCGGACACTGGCGAGCAGCAATGGGTCGAGGGTGGCTGTACAGCACATTCACTCAAAGTCTGACACTCAGGGCGGGACCATGCCACGTGAAGCAACAGCATATCAAGCCGTGTTGGTTTTGGAATGCCTCACCACTGGCGCTCGCAGCCTTGCCGTGACACGCGCGCTGTCCACCCGCCCTGCCCGCTGCATCCAGGAACAAGTCCGGTTGAGAGTCTCAGGCTTGAAGTTCAACCCCTTACCACCACCGCCGCACGCGCAGCCCAAAAACGGTGCGAAGCGTCCGCATTCGCAGACGCTGCGCCCGCCCGACTTTGCAGGCCGCCCCAACCTCCAGCGCCTCGTCCTGCCCCGCCTGGTGCCCCGCGCTGCGCACCTGGCGCTTTTGCCTTGTTTGGACCCCCACAAGTGGGCACTTGCCGTGTGTCACCCCTGCGACGTGGTCAGCAGCCTAAATGTCACACTTTTATTGGGACACGTCTCAGCAACTTCACATCTTCCAGACGCACATAGACACGTACATGTGCGGGTGTGTATACATCCGCACTTGCACACACGCACCTGCCTGCACCCCGGCTTCACCCCCGCATCAGGCGACGAGCCGGCGCTGGGCACCGCCGGGCGGCCGTACTGCCCGATGGAGGTCACCGGTGACATGTGCGGTGACGGCCTGGGGCTGACCAGCTGGTGGGAAGCAGCGGCGGAGGACGGCGCGGAGGAAATGGATGACGGCGAGGGGTGAATCTGCATGCCCGCTGGCACCGCGTTGCTGGGTGCCTTGACGCTTGACTTGACGTAGCGTGACTTGGGCTATTGGAACCTTTGACGCTTGTCTGACCTGGCCTTGTGTCCATTCTGACGCAATTGTGCATTTCTTGTCGGTTGTGTGAGCTTTGACCTGATCTGTTAGACCCACAGTAGCTGCTGGCTTTGGCAGCATGCAAGTGTACTGACTGCGTGTGCGTGCATGCATGCGTCCGCTCGCATGTTCGCATGATTTTGGACACATTAGAACCTTGCTCCCAGTAACACTGGCATTTAGAGGGCATCGGGGCTAAAAAGTAGGGACAGGGCAGCAGCCAGCGTTGTCTGAAGCGCGAGGAACAAGCCACATGCGGGGCAATTCAGCAGCAGCCGTAAGGGGGCGCTCGTCCCATTGCAGGTTCAAGGAAGCAGGAGCCGATGACTATCGGAGCCTCAAAAAGGTACGGTAGTCTTGCAGCGGCGCAGGGCACTGTGCAGGCGCTGCCCTCACAGGCCGAGGCGGGCCTCGTTTTCCTCCACCTGTGCACGGCAGGGAGGGTGACACGGCACCGTCCATGATCGCTTCAAGTCCATCAGGGACGAGCGGTGGAATCATGCTTCACAGGCAGGGCCTCCGGTACCCGTTTGTCGGGGGCCCTCCAGTATCAATAACAGACAGATGCCCATACTTTGATGAAGACTATTTGTCACCAACAATGCATTCTCTCAGCCTACGCAGCCACATCCGTCCTGAATCCCAAACTTTCAGGAGGACCATCACCTGCTTGAAGTGCTTGACCAGCAGCCTGTACGTCGGCCCACTCCTGATGGTGCACGCGACACACGCCAAGGTGCTGGCCGCAGCCATTGCGGCCAGTATCAGGAACGCCTCCCTGAAGCAGTCCGGGCCGACGCAGCTAGTAGGGTCTCCGTGGGCGGCAGCCGCTTTATCGTAGAGGCGGCCGGTCAGGCGGGTAGCCAGGAAGTAGCTGCCAAAGGCCGGGGCAAACTGGGTGGGGCATTTGCGTTCACATGTCCCAAGGACAGGGTGGGGTGGGTTCAAGGTCCCTGGTGACGCAACGAACAAGGATTCAAAGGGTGCCGCATCGGGACGCTGGGCGCATGAGGTCACTGCATGCGAGGCCAAGCATCCGTGCAGGCGGCCGGTGCTGGGGAGGGGGTCCCCTGGGCCAAGATTCTAATCATTTGAGCAGCAAGATCATTAGCAACAGGCCTCACCTGAAGGAAAGTGTAGTTGGATCCGAAATTGGCAAGACCTGAGGGTGGGGTGGGGTGCGTGGGTGGGGGAGGAGACGGGTGCATCAGGTGGGCCGGAGGAAGGGGACAGGTTGTGCGTGTGAAGGGCTGCGTTTGCGACGCGCTCAAACACGCGCATCTCAACCGCTCACAGCTGCCCCCGAATCCGACGCAGCACACAGCGTCGCGGTTTCCATCTTGTTGAATTGCGCTGGCGCACCAAACAAGTCGGCGCTGATCGCCGGCGCCAGGCTCCAGTGGCCGCCGAACAGCAGGCCCACAACCACCGTCACGATGTACAGCTCAGCAAGCGTACAGTAGGCGGCCGCCAGTGTCGCCAGAGCCTGGGCATGCATGACCGCGTGCGTGTTGGTGGTGCATCTTACGAAAAAGATGATGTGCTGTGCGTCTAATGTGTGAGCACGTGTACATGTGTGCGTGCGTGAGTGTAGAAATGCGTACATGTATTGGAAAGGACGTTCTTGCTGTGAGTGGTCGCTGTCTGGGCCATCCACCCCCAAACCGACAGCTGTGTCAGCGCGCGGCCCCTGGCCGGTGGGATTGGAGCGCCAAGCAGCGCACGGCCGCTTGGCTCCAACAGAAGGGCCAGCAGGGCTGGGACTGCCGATGAAGGCGCCGTCACGAGGCTGTTCACCCCCACCGATTTCAGCGCACGCGCGTGCGCCAGCGCACCATGCCCGCGGCTACGCTGACGAGGAACACCGGCCTGGGCGTGCCGCTGCTGTGCAAGAAGGCCTCCGGCACGTAGCCCATCACCAGGCGGCCTGTGGGGTGGTGTTGCATACCATATTCAATGGCTACAGCATGCATTTCCTGAGACAGCAGGGGTCCAGGGGACAGGCAGACATGGCGTCCACAGCCCTACAGCCTGGGACACATGTGACCGTGCAGGCGCTGCTGTGCCCGTCCCCCCACGGCGCACCCGCACGCGCGCGCCCACCTGCGGCGTTGGCGACAGAAAAAAGCGACACCAGGACTACGTGCGCCCCCGGCGGCGCCCCCAGCGCGACCACCACCTGCCCCATGTTGTTCAGCAGCGCCAGCGCGGCGCCAGAGCCGACGCAGAACTGGAGGAAGATGCACCAGAACTCGAATGTACACGTCATTTGCAAAGTCGAGAGGCTCGGCAGCGGCGGGTGCTGCAGCTGCTGCTGCTGCTGCTGCTGCTGCTCGTGCTGCTCGCGCTCCTCGCCGTGGCCGTGGCGCGCCGCGAGCAGCGGCGCCCGCTCCGGCGCCGCCGCGCCCGCGGCCGCGCAGCCGCGGCCGTCTTCGCCGTTTTCCTCGTTATCCTCGTCGTCGTCGGCGCACGGGAACGAGTCCTCCACGTTTGGGGCGTCGTCTGCCAGGTGGTCGTGGCCGTACACCGCCCACCACCCCCCGGTGCCCAGGGGCAGCAGCGCGACGAGTGCCACAAGGCCGAGGCAGCCGGCGGCGAGCGCGGCGCGCGCGTGTGGGGAGAGGTGCTCGCTGGAGACGACGAGGGCGGAGGCGCACTGGTAGGCGGCGATGGCGGCGACGAGGTAGAAGGCGAGCATGAACCTGGGGGGGGGCGCAGTGGGATGAGAGGGGAGAGTTTGGGCGGACGAGAGGGGAGCGGCCTTGGACCACAGCTATGAGATAATCTGATCGGCTGCGTCCGCTTGGTGTTGGAGCTGTTACTTACGACAGCCAGGCAAAACGGCAACGGGCATGCTGAGATGTTTTGACGAGGCGATGGGTGTGGTCACAGGGCGGATGAGGAGACTGTGCGCATGATTGTTGCGCCCCCGCGCGCAGGCTGACACCCGCCAATATTTCGCAGGGACCGGCACAAGCACGCTCGCTCACCTGCGCTCTGTGCTGATGGCGTTGCTGCTGCCTACGGGCGCGCTGTGCTGCTCGGACGCCTCCACAAAGGGCACGTAGTTAATCCCCAGGCTCATGAGGGTGTTGATGAGGGGGGGCGCCAGGCTGAGGGGGGGGGTTACATAGGGTGGGCAACGTAGTGAGAGCACGTTGTACAGAGTTGGCAGGTGAGGACCGGCTCAAAAAAGGTGGCAAGGTGAACATCATCACGTGCACTGGCATGCAGGAGGTGCATGCAAATTCACATGTGTGCGCAGAGCAACGACAACGGTTGAACTTTGTTGGTTCCAAGGGGCACTACCACACTGCAGAGCTGCAGCAGCTGTGTCTGCCGGCAAGCGTGTCAGCCGCGGCCGCCTTCGGGCGACGAAAACCCCCCTTTGACTCAGCAGCAGGCCCTCACGCGAGTAGCAGCAGGAACGTGATCGCGTCTGGCGCAAAGAATGCGATGTAGACGGTGGTGTAGATGCTGGCGGACATCCCCAGGAACGATTTCAAGATTCCCACCACGAAGCCGCGGCTGTTGGGGAAGTTGCGCACTGCGCCGCAGCGGCAGCGGCAGCGGCAGCGGCAGTGGCAGCGGCAGCGGCAGCGGCAGTGAGCTTGGTGTTTTGGACACGTCACAATGCAGTGTGAAGGGGGGATGAGATTTTGTTGGATGCCAGGGTGTGGCGCGGACAATGACTGCGTGGCAGTGCAGCCGAACCAAGTGGCGCATAGCAAGCGGGGCAAACGTCAGGCACGGGCAGCCATGTGTCACCCCGCCCCACCGTTTGTGACGAGCGCCGACGTGTCAAGCCAGACCCCCGCGTTGCCGGCGCACACGGCGAACACTAGCAGCTGCGCCAGGCCGCCCTCCGCGCGGCCAGAGGCGGTCATCCAGAGACCGAGGTAGCCGCACAGGCAGCACACAGAGCCCATAGCTATGACCAGCCTGGTTAAAAACGAGGAGGCGTCCGGGCGCAAACAGCACGCACGGGGGTTGAGGGATCTTGCAGGTGCGGAAAGGGGGGACGGGCAGCGCTTGATGAGGGTACCACGCGGTCGCATGGAGTCGGAAGAGGCTTGCGGCGCTGCTCGGCAGGACGAGGGCAGGAATGCGGGGCTGCTAGTGCCGGGCCGAACGGCCAGACACTTGGACGGAGCGGGGCGGCGCGGCGCGGCCCTGGGAGGCCGTACCTGGGCCCAATACGGTGGTGGTGCTTTGTTGCATCATAGACTGCGCCACTGACGATCGCGAAATACCCGCCAAAGTTGACTGGGTTGGCGGCGTTGTGGGGGTGTTGGGTATGGGGCATGACGCAGCCGCATGCTTTCAACGCTTTGCGCGAGGCAACATAGACAGGGACAGGGCCGCCTGCGAAGCGCGGCCACGGCCCACATAGGGGGCCCGCGGGCGCCTGCAAGCACAGAGCGCTGGCTGCCGCCACGCAACGCACCTTTCGGCTGACTACGTGCTGCTTCCATCCCGCGCGTCCCCTGGCTGATGCTTTCCGTTGCCAGTGAGATGTACAAACCCCTTCATCTTCCGCCCGCTCGGCCCGCGGCCGCCGCTGCTGCGTCCCGCCTGGCTGCCTCCCCATTGACCCTCGCCACCTCACCTGCGCTGCCGACAGTCGCAATCTCCACCTGGCTGAGGTTTAGTCGCTCCTTGAGGGCCGGCCCATAAATTGAGAAAGAGTAGGACAGCCCCGCGCACGTCTGCGGCCGTTCAAAGGGAAGATGCTTTGAGGGCAAGGCGCATGGTGCTGATGGGCCGCACATGTGCTGCGGGCGTGGCAGGTTGGCTGCAGCCGCGGTTCCCATGGCGGCCGCCCTGCCCCATTCGCACCTGTATTATGCAGGACGCTGCAAACGTCACCCACTTGGCGACGCGGCTGTGGGAGCGCGACCTCATCGGAGGCGAGGTGGCCGTATGAGCACGCAGCCGGCAGGAGGCTCTGCGACCGCGGCTAGAGCTTGCACTGCTGGCAGGTTCAGGAGGCACCACAGCGGTCGGCGCGCTGCTGGCAACAGAGGGTTCGTGGTATGCTTCCACGTGCTTATAAGCTTTCACCACGCGGTGTATATTGGCGAGATGCTTCCGAGAATCATCATCAGATCACATGTCACTGTGTGGATCAAAGCTCGTCGTGATGGACAGGATGTAAATTTACATTTCACGCGATATGCACGTCACATTGATGAGATGCGATACTTCTATACGCTCGGACGGGTCCGATTGACCATACAATGATGGTCACACCGACACATTTGGCTTCATTGGGCAGAGGTGGTGCCACATACTGTGCAAGTGTGGCAGGTTGCCGGCATGGACACGAATGCGGTGGTGCACACGCACTTGTTTACACGGTACAGCCTCAAACAGTGGCAAACGCTGTTGCCAACCGCTTGAACAAAATAACATGCTGATGCTGCACCACGGGTCAAACGACCGGGTCAACGCCCCCTCAGGGTCCTCCCCTTTCATGCTGCAATTTTCTGTTGATCACCAAGTTGACGTGGAACGCAAGCACCAATAGTCACAAACCTGACGACTTCACGGGAGGACAAGCATCAGCAGGTCAAGCACAGAAACCCCGTCGCTGCAGCCGATGTTAGCTGCCGCCAGCTTTTGCCTGCCCCACGACCTGCACGCCTACCGTGCGCTTGCGAGGCCCGTCCAGTTCCACCAGCATGACAGACTGCGGCAGTCGGGGGTAGGGGGATGCGCACGGCAGGCGGGCCAGCAGGCTGGGTGCCGAGTACCATATACGTTGCAAGGGCAGTGCACTAAGTACGGCGACACAAAGCATGGAGCCACCTCACTCGCAGCAGCGCTGTAAAGTAAAGCTGCGGTCACCCCACGTCGGCAGCCGCCACTGGGTCGCGCGCTGGCGTGCCGCCCACCTGCCAGACGCCGGTCTTGAGCTCGCCCTTGCTGATAGGCACAGTCTCGGAGTTGCCCAGCATCAGGCTCAGCAGGTGGCTGTGGGCATTCTCCGGCTCCTGCGCCGCCCACGCCTCCCAGCCGCCCGGCCAGCCCTGCGACACGGCGACAGTGGCGCCGATGCCAGCAGCGGCGGGTGGTGTGGACTAGTCGACACGCAGGCCAATGCGGGTGGCTCCCAGACACTCATAGCCACTCCACGTGGCTAACAAGGCCCAGAGGCAGCAGCTCACAACGGCTGGCCGCGCACACCTGCACGCAAGCCCTGCTGGAAGCGCCGCAAGTGCGCTTCTCGGCGTCCCCTGCCTCTCCCCCTGCCCCTACCCCGCCCATTCCCCCACTGCTCCCACTTCCACTGCCTCTGCCCCTCCCCTGCTTGCCTCTGGCGCCTCCCGCAGGTGGAGGTCGTTGTGGAGGTATGAGTCTGTGGCGGGCGCCAGCTTCCGCAGGTACTGTGGGTCGCATGTCATGTGAGCGGCAGCCCAACAGGTGACGCCATGGAGTGAGGACGTCCGAGAGCAGCGGTCCGTGCAGAGGGCGAAGAGCAGTAGCGGGTGGACACACGCGCATGCACTCGCGTGTGCGGCTCTTGCCTGCCGAATGTCGTCCAGCAGGCGGGTCTCGTACTCGTTTATGCAAACGGCGGTGGTGGTGTGCCTACAGGTGAAGCCAGTGAAAGGGGTGGGTGCATTCCAGGCCGCCAGCCAGCCGGCTCTTGTGAGCAGAGCCTTTGTGAGGCCGGTGCGGGGTCGCCGCATGCATGCAAACTTGCATGTGCTGCCGTCAGCATTGCCTTGCTGGGGCCGGCTGCGGCCACGGTGCGTTGGTTCTCGAGGTCACCCGCCAACCCACCCACCCCACCCACCTGCTGAGCACGTTGACGAAGCCCTCTTGCACGCCCAGCCGCTCCACCTCCGCGCGAATCTGCGGCATCAGGTTGTGGACGCTGATCCCCGGGCCGGTCTCCAGTTCTATCTCCGTGTAGGAGAAAACACTCGGGGGCGCCTGCACTGCTGCTGGCGAGGCGGGGTGCCGGAATGCATGCCTCATTGGCCTGCGCGCTTGGACTCCCAAGCCTGCCCGGCCCCGCAGTTGTAACGAGCGAGCCTGCATTGCTCCTGCACTGCACGAAAGAAGAAACTGTGAGCCGGGAGCGTCTGCAGGCGATCTAGTGGTGGAAAGGAGATAGATTCGACGTTCTATCAATTGATATATGCAGTGAATTTTTTGAGTCGTCCTTTGAAGGAGCTTGAAGGGCGTATCGCATATTATTACTGATCCCTGCCATCCTTTGACGCAACAGCTGATTTACTGCAAGTAGAATAGTTCTTCAGAATCCTTTGTCATGCAAGCAGCATACGCGACACCGCATACGATCTACGGTAGTGTTGTCGACCTGGGTGCATCGCACAAAAGCTTGGCTTGGTGCTGCCCCAGAAGCAATGGAGGAAGCCCCTGCTGACATAAGTGCGGTGGAAGACGCGCTGTGGAGCCTCGGAAAGGAGCTGCAGTGCGCTGTGTGGTGAGTGGCGCATTTGAATTTTCGCGCTTGCTTCTGCAGGCCCGCACCAACGGTCTCAAGACTCACCAGCCCCCTGAACTTTGCCACGTAGCCTCAGTATCCTCAAGCCTCCTTCAGCACGGCTGCCGTGCTGCCATTATTTCTGCAGGTGCGCGCAGCACGCACTGCACGCACAGCACACGCAGCACGGGGTGGTTGCATGCAGGTACGCCCAGCACGGCATTCGCATGCACATTTTTGCACCGCCTGCTACCACTTACACCACAGTCTTGACGCGCAACACACGCAGGTTGTGAACTCTCTCCCCTCACACCACAATCTTGACGCGCAACACACGCAGGTTGTGAACTCTCTCCCCTCCCCCTTGCC